TCTATAATTCTAATGGTAGAAAAACAATCCCAATCACACACACACGGACAGATGGGTAGACAGACAGACAGACAGGTAGATAAAGACAGATGAATAGATAGATAGATAGATGGATAAATCATCCATCCATAAAGCTAGAACTGCTAGAAAATGATGAGCCACCTGATAGAAGTGGAGCTCGTGTGTTGTGATCTGAAATGCAACCTTCAGAACTTTATCTGAAAAAGAAGAATATTCTCTGCATAAAAGAAAATTAAAGAGAAAGACAAAATAAAACTCTCATGCCTTAAACTTTGGTACGATGGCATCATGCGTATCCCAAAGGATTCAAAAAGCCTCTACTTCATCTGCAACAAGATCAAGAAATTGCCTTTGCACTTGTTCTTGCATGGAAGACGACGTCTGATTCATCCCTCCAGAAATCAGACACCCTACAGTAGTTCTCTGTCACGTTTCTTCATCAGAATGTTTATTCAAAGGATGCATCTAACATTAGAACATGTAGTAAAGAGAGTGAGAGGTACAGATTTCAATGGATAGATAGGTGTGTGTATATGTATAGTCTTTGTGCTATTTGAGAGGTTGCTGAGCAACAGATGGAGACAAGTCAGGGGGTTAGTCCTCAAGCTCAAGAGACATTATATTATGTTAAAAACATATATGTGGTATTAAAATATATCTATACAGTTATGTTACTATATATGTTGATAATATGGACACATACAATGTTGCACTGAGGATTATTAGCCTGCTCACCCCTGCATGGGTTTTGATGTCCACTAGCGTATTTACGACCAAAGCTATATGACGACCAAAGAAGCTGAATCCCTGAAACCAACCACATGAATTCTCCCTGTCAGCCTGTTTCTTGAACACAAAGTTGTCCATTAATGTTTTGCCTCACCCAGTGGATCAGTGGGTCCAGCCAATAGCACTACATTGACCTCTTGTGGCTGAAGACAGAACCTGCGTCTCATGGTTCGAGACACTTCATGTTAAATCATCACTTCAACAGATTCCACACAGTAGTTATGTGATACAGTTTCACGATGTTTACAACTTTATCTCAGCTTCAAAATGAACAAAGCACAAAGAAGACGCAGCTAAAAGCTAACAAAGACACATCTCAGATTTTATTCAAGTTCACATAGACGTCATCAAAGAAAAGGAATACAACATTAAAACTCAATATGAATTATTATATAACTTTAAATAAACTGATGAAGGGTTTAATTGGATTAAATGTTATCCCTCTTATGCATACATGATGTAAATGTCACACTTTGTGCAAGACACAATACTATCAACTAAATGGAACTAAACACACACCCATGATGATATGATGCTACATGAACTCATCTTTTTCTTCCTTCGTTGAATCAGAAGAAAGGGAAAATGGAAGACAGGAGATTCAGCCGACCGAGAAGTCTGAAGAAGTGACAGCAAGGAAATGACAAGGTTACACTGAGGTATGCAGGTCACACACACACACACAC